CCCCCAAAAAAAACAACCCAACAAAAAAACCCAGCAAAAAGAACCCAACAACAACCGACGGATGATGCATGCTTGGTGCTTGAAATCTATTATTTGTATGCTGAAAATGCTTACGTTTGCTATTTCAAACACGTCTTGTCGGGACAAAGCGGGGGGAGGGAGGTAGGCTTACGACTTGCAAGTGTTTAACTCCTGATCACTAGGCCTATCACGGCTGAGTGTGGTTTTTTTTCTTTCTCATCGTACTGCTGGGAGTGACTTTTTGGGGGGGGGGGGATAATTGTTTTACGACACTCGCAACTGCATAAGGTCTTAGGAGCGCGCGGGACGCTCTAAACATTTTCAGTTGGTTGGACATTTGGAATATGGAGTGTCTGACTGTATAGTACATCATTATCTCGCAGTGCTGTTTGTCACACATGGCCGTTTGATCCACACAGACCGTAGAAGTGGATGGTTGGTGGGTGCTCTGGTGTGCTGTGCTCCTTTCCTCGTCAAACATCTGTTGTCCTTATCTGTCCTGCTTCTTTTATTTGTATGTTTGTTACTCTCTTGTAACACTTCCAATTTTCGGCACTTATAAATTACCTATGTGTGATGTCAGGGCCGTAAAACTACTTACACACCCCCCACCTCCCAAAAAACCCCCCAACAAAAACAACACAAAAACAACAAAATTTAAAAAAATAAAATAAAGATTATAAAAATATTTTTTTTATAAATAAATGAATAAATGAACAAATAAATGAATAAATAAACAAAGAAACAAATACACAAATAAAACAAACACACAAGCGAACAAACAAAAAACTAGACCGTAGAATTATCCCTGCCCTTATAGCCATGTTCCATTTTCGAAGGTACTGTTAGCGAGTCCTAGATCTACTGACTGGAGTTACTGCAGTTTTGGGGAAGGAGTTCATTTTGAAATTTGAGCATACGGCAGGCCAATGAGCTTATCTTATCCTTTTGAAAACCGCCAAGGGATCTTTAACACGCGGAACTTTTCACACGAACCTCCGTCATGTTTTGGGGTTAATTTTTGTTTTGTTTTTTGTTTTGATCAGAAAAGAGTAAGTGCGTGATCTTACCTTTCCAAGGGTCAGAAGGGAAGACAACGAGAAAAATGCCCAGGCTGGCGGGGATCGAACTCAGGACGTCTGGGTTGACAGGCGGTCACTGTACTTGTTGAACTACCGAGCCCCCTGGCAGAGTGTGTGCTTCAGCGGGCGGTTAAAAGGTGTCACTAATAGGTTCTATTTCGGTACTGTTTTTCTGTTTACTATGTTCTGTACATTGTTTCATGTGGGTGGTTTGAGTTGGAGGGTGCCAGTTGTGGTAGATTTTACGTCTTTACTATTCCTCGGTTGTTTTTACTTGGCTGTATATTGAAGCGCTAGATATTCTACGCCACCGCCCCCCCCCTTAAAAAAGGGGAAAAAATGAAATAAGGTAAAAAGAAAATGTCAAAAAATAAAATAAAATATAAGTAAATTTT